CTAATGTTTACAAGGCTAAAAAGCCTAATTATACTACCAGAAATATCATCATCGAACATATACCTAAATGCTGCCAACATGTTTAATTATGGGCAACTTTCTAGCTTTAAAAGCCAAAATGCCACCAATATAATTAAACATGAGTAACTATTTAGATAAGAATTTATAAGGTTCTAAAATTAATTTAATTAAGACCAACAATAATAATTTACAAGGCATCAGTGAGTAATAGACAGCAACAACCGACAAACATCAATGTACCAATTTAGCAAGCATCGTTGCATCGATTCAACAAGCATCATGCATTAAGAAATCATACAATCAGTGGTAAAGCCAAAGGAAAAAACTTATTAATAAACAATTTGAAAGTTTTATTAAATAACAATTTGGATTACCTTTACAACGAATACTCTTTAACCACATAAAGGTATTCTTCGTCCTTATCCTCCAACTCAAAACCATACAACCAATTACAAGTTGTTACAAAAATCTCAACATTTTTAGGTAAGAGTTTAGCTCTTAATTTGTTCAAAATTCGACATCCCATACTAAAGGAGGATTCAGATGCAACCGAAGTAATTGGAATATCCAATATATCTCTCGCCATGAGAGAAAGTATCGGATATGAAATACTTTGATTTTTTCAATAATCCAAAATATCAAATTCTATTTCTCCAGTATGAGGGACAAGAGGCAAACTGATGTAAGAATCAACATCAGATCTTCCACTCCTTTAAGCAACTAAATTGGCATCGAAAGTCTAAAAAATAAAAGACAAAGAATAGTAAATGAAAACAATAAATAAATAAAATAAATTCAACTTAAAATTGTAATTACTAAGCTAAAATAAATCTGATTTTCTAAAAGCTCGAGGCTGATTGGAACTTGACTCACTTATGCCCAAGGATTTGTTACTTTGGACAGAAGAATAAGAGGAAGAACCATAATATGCATTTTTTTTGAATAAAATACATATAAGTCCAGAAACTCATTATAAATGAGACTTACCCTCCTTTGACCCTCATCCTCAACATAAAGAACATTGTACAACTCTTTCAGAAGTTTTAATTTATATTGAGGATCAAGTAAAACAACAAAAGATAAAATCATTGAGTGATCAGACCAATATTTCTCAAATAGTTCAAGCATGGGTCTAGCCATTGCAGAAATACCTTCACATGGATCATTATGAGCATCACACAATAGTTTTTCAATTGAAACAACATTAGACAAATACAAGTTAGAAGTGAGATATTGTGAACCAGAGAACAGAGTAGTAATTTCATAAAAAGGCTCAAGAAAATCACAGATTGTTTGAACAATTTCCCACTCTTGATCAGTAATGAAATTTAACTCATTTTCCCTATTAACAAACAAATTAATTGCTAATCTAGTCTCAAGTGTCCTATGAACCATCAAGTAAGTAGAATTCCATCGAGTAGGAACATCCAATACTAATTTACCAGAGAAAGAAGTATCGCAGTCTTTAACAGCTAATTCAAAAGCACAAAGTCGAGAATCAGAAGAATCAATAAACTTAACAATCTCACGATATTTATTAATAGAAGAATCAATTACCTTCAAACATTTTTGAACTATCAAGTTCAAAATGTGGGCAGCACATCTTACATGGAAGTATTTACCATTGCATGGAAGAGGAGAAATGACATTCAAATCATCTTTCAGTCTCCTGACCATTTTATCATTTGCAAAAGCATTATCAAGTGTAATGGTAAATGTTTTTTTTTCAAGACCCCACTCACATATAATTTTTTAACAAACTTAAATATTGACTCCCCATCATGAGGAGGAGGAAAATGACGAAAATTAAGAATTTTAGACTGAAGTTTCCAGTTATTATCAACATAATGAGCAGTAAGAGAAAAATAAGAACGTGAAGTGCAGGCAGACCAACCATCACATGTAAAACAAACACGACTTGAAACAGTATGCAATGAATTAAGTAGCAATTTCTTATGTTTTTCATGCTCCAACATGCAATACTTAGTAACAATATACCTAAATATATCCTTAGCAGAAGAATTAAGGTAATGATGTAAATCCCTAAGTTTTTCATGCTCAACAATACTATATGCATATCCATGACATAGAATAGCCTCAATAAACAATTCACAGTATTTGTTTTGATCAAAATAAGCTACACTAACAGGATTTTCAGCAAGAAAAATCTTATATGCTTCACATTTCTCAGTATGCCTTTTAGGGTTAGAAGTACCAATATAAGAATCAACTTTATATTTTTTAACTTTGCAATACTTACACTCGGCATAAACAAAACCATCATCAGATTTGGTGAATGTGTAGTGGTCCCAAACAAGAGAGGTTCTCCCAAATTCGGATGAACTAGTAGACTTCCTCTTAGAGGATTTATTTAAATCAATTGCTTTGGACAGTACATCATTGACATCCCCTTGCAAAAAAAACATAGTTAGTTTACATTACAGCAATAAACCAGTATATCATTTACATCAACAACAATAAACCAGTATATATATATATATCAAACATATACAAAAAATGAATGGAGAGTTTACCTCTTTCAGAATGATTATCATTCTGATCTGCTGGGTTTTGACCTACAAAACAAATAAATAATAAATTAATTCGAATATTAAAATAAAATTAAAAAAGTGAAACAAAAAGGAATGGGAAATTCCTGAGTAATTCAACTCGTACGAAAAACTATCCATGAATCTGTAGGAAAAAATAAAGGTTTCGAATATATGAAAATGGATGAACAATGGATGAATTTGTGGGTGTTTGATCAAAATAAACACGAAATGGTTTGTGTTTAGGTGTTTTTGAAGATCAAAGAAGGGTTTTGGGGAAGAACTAGATGAACAAATGAAGAACACGGAAGAATATTTGAGTGTTTGATCGAAAAAAACACGAATCGTTTCTATTGCTTCCAAAAATAACTTGTTCGAATACCCTGTTACTTTTTTTGTTTTATGATCGAGAGCCCTCCATCTTTACTGATAAGTGTTTCCTCGCTTTTAATTCTCTTCTCTTCTGCCTTGAATCAAGTCTGGTCCCTAGTGGAGTGCAGAGTATAGGCATGGTGATGTGGGACATAGGCGTGGGCTGCTCGAGTGTTTTCGAGCGTGCACGAGAAGGTAATGGGCTGGTGGACTTTTTAGCAGTATTCTATCAACCCAGAAACATTGTGTAAATTAATAAAATAAACATTTGCCATAAACATTGTTTTTATTATTGCAATATTCTATCAATACAGAAGACAGAGTAAAATAAAATAATGCTTTGTGTAAATTCCTCCATTGTTAATATGGAAACAAGCATACGGATTTTATTGAAAGTAGGGTAAAAAACAGAGAATTACCATGAGAAATTAATAAAGGGTTAGTCTAAATATACCTAAACCTACCAAGAAAATAATAAAATAAATGGGGGAATATTTCGAAGAAGATTGGGCAGTGGGGACGTGGGTGTGTGTTCCCCATTCTTGTCTCCATGTCTTTTTCATCTTATTTTCGATCCAATTATATCAAATTTATGTTATTTTATTTATATTTTGTGTACACCAATTTTAAAATTTATATCATTACGAGGATGTGGACATTTTTATAACATCTTTATTTTTCAAAATGATATTCGAATACTATTATTTATTAAATTGATATGCGTTTGGATTAGGTTGTATTGTTTGTAATTTGGGGCCTAATTATTTATAAATTGATTTGGGCTTGTAGTGAAGCTTACTAGAGAAATAAAAATATACACAATATTAATACTAATAATAATTATAATTTATAATAATAATAATTATAATATAATAATTATTATATTATAATTTTTTATTTTTTTTGGACAAAACGGGTGTCTACATATAGTATATAAATATAAAATATAGTATATATATATAGGTCATATGTAAACTATATAGTTTATATATATAATTCATATGTAAACTATAGTTCATATATATAGTATATAAATATAAACTATAGTTTATAGAAATAGTATAAAACATAGTATATAAATATAAATTATAGTATGTAGTTTATATAAATATAAATATAAACCCTAAACTATTAACTCTGATCCTTAAATCCTAAATCTAACCTCCTAAACCATGACCCCTAAACCATATATATATATATATATATAAACTATATAGTTTATATTAATAAACTATATAATTTATACAATATATATTATTTATAATTATACATAATATATAAATATAAATTGTATAGTTTATATATAATTCATATATAATTTATATATAAACTATGTAGCATATATAATTTATATATAAATATAAATATAAACATAAACATAAACATAAATATAAACTCAATCCGTATCTGATTGAGATCCGACCTGAATTTTATATGCCAATGATGTGACCCGATCTGAACGAGATCCGCTTGAAGTCTATCCGAACCTGAATTAACCTGCTTTTTAATTGTTTCGGACCTGAGCTAGAAACAATCCGAACTGAAAATGACCTGACCTGAAACCGATCTCGATCTGGTGTCAAATTTACATGACTTGACTTGTATCCGATTTTACCCGACCTGCCAGATCCGACTGAAACCTGAACGATTACCTGATTTTACAACCCTACCTACAAGTGCCAACCCTTCGTCGTTTTCATTTATACATACATTAATTATATGCATATTTTAAAAAGAAAACATGCCGTTTAACCGTAGCATAGGAAACAAAAAACAAGTAGGTTCCTTTGGTGACCCTGGACCACAGTTTTGAGTGCTCCTTGCTTTCTTTATTGGCACTTTTTCAATCTAATAACCACTTCCGTTATACCATTATACTCGGGTATAAGATAGTATATTAAACATGACAAAGGTAAAAAATACAAACATATTTTCTTATGAATCTTCCGTTAAGACAATGTAATCACTTTGTCTTAATTTACCGTTAGGATAGCAAAGTTCAAGAATCGGTGACATAAAGATACAATAAATTTAAAATCAATGTGAAATGTGTCACTATAGAATCAAATTTTAGAATATTCGTCATTTGATTGTTCTATACAGCATATTCGGCAAGTTGGAGAATCTCAGATCCAAACTGCCATACCCATAAACGTTTAATAATCATCTTAAGATACAAAGTAACAAATCCCCCATGGCAGAACAGAAACAAGATAATACGTGAAACATATTCGTCGTCTTTTTCTTTTTGGTAAATCGTTTTGTTTAATAATTTAATTCAAGTTTAAATCAAATGCCGACTGTATTTCGCCATCAGATCCTACATTGACATCGAGAATATATTATATTTCTAACCTAAAAAAAGAAAAAAAAATACTCCCAAATCGCTGGCTAATCATCGATCGGAACGATCCTTGAAATCGGAGGCGAGCCTAGAAGCGATAGCTGAATGGTACATAGCGTCGTGAAACGACTCCGTGTTCGTAGTCATCATACGGAGCTGCTTTGCCTTCTCCTCGGTGAAGCTTCCCCTGGAAAACTTCGATCTCGCCGGCTTTTGCGATGTTTCCGTCTTTGATTCTACTTTCCTTGTATCTTCGACCTCGGTTTTTCCATCTGAATCAAAGTAATCAGGCTCGGTGGACCATCCAAAGAGCGGGCCCCACCAGCTGGCGGAGGAAGGCGGTGGAACACTACTTTTACGGCGGGTGGTATCCTGTTTCGCATGACCGGGAATAGCAATGGCGTAGATTCCGGCGGGACGGAAGGTGAGAAGATTAGTAGCCATTGAAATGCTTGATTTAAAGGGATTGTAGAGAGAAAACTTAGGGTAACTGGTATTCAGAGAGATTGTGTTAAATTAGAATTAATGGAGATCAAAGTATTTATATAGGGGTTGCCCACTGATTCAATAAATGGAAGATGACGGAAAGGTGGGGTAACGGATAAGATAAACACGTGGAGGTGAGTCGTTTGATACCTTTTACCCTTCTTTTACCGAATGTTCCGGTCATTTGGTCTGGGCCCGTGGGCCTCGGATGAACCGATGCTCATATAAAGTGATACACTCCATACTAAGTGAAATCTAATTCTCGATTAAATTTTAGTTCAATTATTATTTTTGAATGTAACAAATTTAGTTATATTTAAATGTAATTAGATTTTATTTAAGATTTTAAATCGAATAAAAAAATATATATAAATTTATGTATTTATGAATAATTATTTGATTCGTATATTTCTCGGAATATAATGGTATTATGGTAAGTAAGAAAAACAAAGTCGACTTTCATATTTTTCTATTTGATTTTTTGGGCAGGAGACAATTCTACATGTGAAAATCATCTTTGTTGGAAGCATTCAATCAAAATGCGTTACGAACGCGTAGTCTCGGACGACATTTGGTGGGAATTGTATTCCACAATTCCTTGTTCTCTCCAGTGGTCCAGTCACTGTCCTTGTCCGGTTAGTCGGCTGTCTTTTTGTTACCACAAGCTGGCCATCTTTGAACACTCCACAATTTGAAAGGCACCGCGTTTGGACCGTCGTCGAGCGGCTCGCAACCACGAATATACTTCTGATTCCATGTCCAGGCTTGCAGTCATGGCCGCCCCTTGCTTTCTGTGTAATGGTTTGCGTTTCAAACTCTCATTCTAGGCCGAACCAACTTTACATGAATATCTGGCCTATAAGCCCATAATACTCATACTGGATTAGGCTTCGACCTTATTCCGAGCAATAGTCTACGACAAATTCTGTTACCTTTTTTCTTTTTGAGTATTTTGATTCTCTAACCTTTTATTTTAAGGTAAAAAGATTTCTATTTTAAAGTGTTCATCATGTGTTGACTGACAGTTTTCACTACGTATAACGGACATAACGTCTTAATTTGATTATTACGTCATGCGGCATTTGAATGAGATCTTTTTTTAATACAAATCAATCTTTTTATCAATGATATGTACCTTTGATTCACTCAATCATAAAGCTATGCCATAGTTGATAAGAGACATTTCATCGATATTATATTCATTCCCATAATAACATAATCCCAAAGCTATAAGTACTCTTGGATATGAGACCACGAAAGACATAACGAACATTAGAGTATAATCTCACTCAACTCATAGTACGATATAGGGCCCACTAGCCCTAAACTATCAATATGTATTTTTTCTAGAGAGACATTATATCATCTACTTTCAATGTGAACACACTTAGATCCCACATGAGCCTAGGAGAAGAAAGTTTATACCATAGTAGCTCCATATGCTAACTCAAGGTGAGGGGATGGTAGGGACCTTTTTGTTTTGAAATAAAATATTAGAGGTCAAAATGTTCCAAATAAAAGAATATATATCAAAATGATTATTTAAACAAATATTAGAGACATTTTTTTCGAAATGTGATGCATGCCACATCAATCAAACTAAAATTTAATTAATTAAATTAAGAAAAATATAAAATAACATAAGATTGATGGGGAAAATATTAAAAGATGAAATAATTGGACTCAAATTCAACCTATAAATCTAAATGTTGCGGGAATCTTGTCTTGGATATTTGACTTTGACATTGGCCTAATCAACTGCATTTAGTTTACACACATGTCAACTTGGAGTGAGCATCAACTAGCCTAGAAGCATAGGTCCACATCCGTGACCACACCGCCCCCACAAAACCCACATGCAATCGAACTCTATACTATAGTGAAGACAAGATTGATCGGCTTAAGACAAACTTGTTCAAGGTTTGTCAATTTTCCCATGCCCCCATACAAAACTATTAGAAAGTGGACCCAATAAGGCAATAATGAAATCTTTGTTAATTTCGATGCATTGACGAAAAATAAAATAAAATCGGAATGTAGTTCAAAAGGATAATATAAATTTTAGGATATTCAATCGTTTTTCTTATCTTTTCATTTGATTCATACATTTTTTTTGAATTAATTATTGGTATCCGATCTATTGACCGACTAATTCAGTCTTGGGTACTGCAGAGGCGATGACGACCCTCCCAACTCAATATGCTCCATTCACAAACGCCAGGATTCAAACCTTTGACCTTGCTTAAGAAACCTAGTGACTCATCCCACTAGATCAACTGGTTTAATTAAACACTAACTCTATTTGAAACATACCATTAATACATTTATTTCAACCTCAAACTAAAAATTTAAAGATATACATTATTATGACATTTCGAAGTGACTACATATCTTGATTGTCTCATACAATGATGAACACAAAATCTTATGTTAGAGGCAAACTTTTAAAATTTTAAGAGATAAGAACTTCTAAATTTCTAATGGACGAAAACAAATTATTAATTGATTTTTTTTAAAAAAAATCTAGAATATATAATAAATTGAAATTTTTAGGGACAACTATTCCACCCTTCATTCCATCCAATATCATTGGTCTTATATCGTTCTTACTAATCAACCGATCACTAACATTATAAGTTTGACTCAACTTAACTTTAAAATTTTAGTTCCCAAAACCCAACTGTAAAACATGAGCATTGAGACCATATACAAACAAGAGATCAAATAAAAGGTATGTAAAAATCAAAATCAACAGATTCGACTAGAGAAAAAAATAAAAATGAAGAAGAAATATACTTAAGTACGTACCAAGTATTAATCCTCATTTTCAAATCGAATAAAAATAAAGAGAAAATTGAGCAGATGAAGAAGAAGAAGCCATGAAAAAGAAAAAGAACAAAATTCTAAATCTAATTTAATGCAAAAATGATTGAAAATAAATAATAAAATAATAATATTAGAGAAAACTTTAAAGAGAGCAAGAGAGGAGAGTGATGCTGAAAAAACAATACACTCTTTAATTTGGGGGGGGGGGGGGAGGACATAATTCATTAAATGGCAGTCTAGGGTTAAATGCAGTGAGAACGGGGCTAACTATTGTGGTACCATCAATGGATCATGACATGGCGAGACTTAGGTCATCTCTAGCCCTCATCTCTATTTTACACTATCTTTATCTCTACTCTAAAGATATAATAATTCATTTACAACATTATCTCTATATTACTACCAACTCTATTTTATTCACAATATTTAACTATTATAATATTGATTTTGAAAATATAAAATAAAACACATACATTTCTAATAAATATCAAGATAAAAAACATAAATAAAATATTCATAAATAACATTACGAAAAAAAAAATTAAGATTTATAATAATAATGCGAAAAAAACATAAGTTGCATAATTATATATTTTAATTCTCCAAATTAAAATATTCATTCTACAAATTAACAAAAAAGAAAGTAAAAAAAAAATTAAAAATCAGACTCTACTCTAAAGATGTGCTATAGTATTGTGCTACATATAGAATATCACTGTAATATTTATATATTTCAGACTCTACTTTAGAGATAAGTTGAAGTTGAAATTTATCTCTAAAATAGAGATTTTCTCTATTTTAGAGATGCCCTTAATTCAAGCACCAATATCCAACATGTTTCCTTCGACAAGGCCGCCACTTAATTAGGGAACTTTGTTTTGAAAGTCAACTTTGGAATGCCTAATAATCTTCTTCTTTCATCATCATCTTGAAAATATGCATTTTATTAAGGATTGTTTCCACAACTATTATTGGAGTGATTTTTAAGCTTAGCTCTATGGTATTTGTAATAAGTCTCAACATTTCTTTTGAAGATATAGGTTCAAATAATTGTGTATACATTATCAATAGACTAAGAAATTTTTTGAACAATATTATATTATAATCACTCTAGACATGTTTTAGTTAATTAAATAATGCACGTTATGTACCATTAGTTTTACCAAATCAATACTTAGTTACTACTTTGTATTAGTTTATCAAAATTTACTAAAAATATTATCAAACATATCATAATAATTACAAATCATATAAAAGGAAGTTAAATTAAAAGATTTAAAAATGTGGTTTTAATGAAATTTAAAAAACTTTAAAGGAGCCAAAATGAAATTTGACATTTTTCATAGCCCCGCAAACTCCTCTAGATTCTCCCCTACCCAATGCCCATTATTCGGTGGTTGAGAGTTGAGGTTACTTTCTAGTAAAAAGAAAAGTGGGTCGTCACCGCATTTGATTACTGAATTCTGGTTGTTCCATGCCACCATCCGTTTGCTTAATTAGTGCATATAAACATGGTTCAAACGTTGTTTAATTACTAATTTCTTTTTCTTTAAATATTTTATATGTAGATTGTATAAATTTCAGTTTACACAAAATTATTTATTTTAATATAATATATTGTTTCCCATAATTAAGCAAAGCACGAGTGAGAGTCGAGCAGCTGCAGAATGTATGCACGCTAAGTTTTGTATAGTTCTTAGATGGTGTCGCGTAGACGTTGCATAGTTTTTGTGCGTGAATTATGGGTTGCTGGGTTGCTTTTTGTGATCTAATTATCATTTAAGTCCTAGCCTTTGTAGTTCAATTCATTTTCACACGCCTTTCTCCGTCGGCCAACCACCACCGAAAGCTTTAACAATTTGTATATTGCTTTAATTAACCTTGTAATTTATTAATGACAATTACAAAACAATTCAAATCGAACACATATATCTTTCAACGACAATAATTCAAAAAGAATGTATAAAGTAAAGCTTTTCTGGAGAATAATGCAAAAGGAATGGACAGGAACGATCATATGATTGGAGAAACCCAGCCTTGCTTTCAAAGTTTGGGGGACCAAAACATCATTTTCCCCACATTCATTTTAGATATTTCTCTTCTCCAGCAAACCCTCCCCAAGTTGTTTACTGCCCGCCTTTATTTTACCCACAGATTCTTCAATCTTACTTACCCTGCACTTCCAACGATTAGCAAAAATCAAATTGAACAATACGAAAGAGA